TGGTCAATGTTCGAGTATTACTCGAAAAGGATATTCTTTACAGTCAACGTCAGGTGTTGGTCGACAGTCTGCCACAGTGGTGTGTTCAAACACGACCATGTATTCCAACAACAAGTGGTCAATTATTGCCAAGCGTTCATGTCTTCGCCAATCACCTACGAACCATTGTTGGCCCGCATTTACCTGTGTTTGCTTGTAACCTACCTAACGTACTTCCCGAACTCTGGCAGCAATTCTTTCAGTTCAAAATCGAGTTATTCGTTGAAGATTATTTCAATTTACTGGAGCGTATTCATCATTCATCTTCTCCTCCGAACGATGAAGAAGAACAGCGTATTCAGTTGATCTACACGGGACTAATCAATCAAATTCGCCTGAAAAATTACAAAAAGAAGAAATCACTCTTTCTTCTCAGCACACAAAATCAACAGTTTCATCTCTCGAATGAATTAGTGCTTTCCATCGATAAAGATTTGATTTTACCTTCGAGTGTCAAGCAATTGAAACTCAATGACGAAAATGTCCGCCATCCGCATCTCGGATTGCTGCTCGACGTCGTCCAAGTACGAGCAGTCACTCGTGCTGATCTTTCCCTATCGAAACAGATTACCTATCATCCCTCTCGGTCATTATCCACCAAATTACGAAACATACAACCGTACCTCTTTGCGTTGGCTGAGCATCACAAAGTGAACGATCATGCGATCGACTGCGATTTAGTCATTTTCGAGGCGGACCGTCTCGAATTGGTTTATAACAATGAAGTTTTCATTCATGAAGTGCCTGTGCATCTACAACAGACTCAGTTGTATGTCAAACGGCCTTGGTATGGTGAAGAGACGATAGCAGCGCTTCCGCAGATTCTATGCAAGCAACTTCGATTACCAGTTCATTTCGAAGCGGAACTAGACCGTATGTTGAAAGAAAGATCGGTCAGTGGTGTCGATCGATACTTTCAGCTACAAAATATTCTTATTCAGTCCCAGTTTTTCTATCCGGAATTGTTAACCATCGGTGGAACTCGAGAGAAATTCGCTGCACAGATCGATCGAGACAATAATAACTTGTTCTATCATTTACCTTCATCGTTGACAACAACAACAGATCTATTTCTCGCTGCTCTCGAAGCGCAAGATTCCAAATGGAGTGGATACGTCTATCATTTCACACACTTAGAGAATGCCGTGGCCATTCTTCGCGAACGAAAACTGAAAGCACGTGGACACATTACGAATTTCAAAGACTGTGCTGCATTCAACGTGATCAAAGGAACTCGTTCACAAGTGAAAGACTTCGCTCGATTCTACTTTCGTCCATTGACACCAACGCAACGCTGCAATGAAAACCTGAGTTCATCTGAATTGATCTCGCGCTTCGGTAACAGACCAATGTGTCCAGTGCCGATCTTTTTCCGGTTTAATTTACGTTCTTTATTAGCTATTGAGAATCTGCGATGGAAAGTGAGTCTGGGTAATATGGCCAGTCCACACACGGAGTTCGACTGCACAAGCGAAATCGTCAGAAAATTCGATTTCCACTATGTCTATGCTGACTTACGAACTGAACGGGGCAAATATGCGTCTCAACAAGAATTTTTGATTGAGACCGAGTTAGATTTTGATCTTCTGAATAACACTGATATCGAGCTTTTCGTTCAAAATGAGAATGCTTATAAGAGCCTAAGCTCTTTCTTCGAGACATGCCGCTACTCGATCGATATAGACTCGCAGTACTTCTTCAACTATAATGGTCAAGTGAATGTGAAATACTCTCAGACTACTCCAACCAAGATTTCTATTTCCATAGATTATCCGAAAAAATCGTCAGATGATACGCTCGGACAGTTATTCGTGCAGATTAAATCGAAAACTCCAACGAAAACTATTACTGGTAACCTTCTTGGTGTTTTTGAACGCGATGGCATTTACACTATCTTGGGCCGGCAACGAATTTCGTTCGTTCCCGAGTCCGAACTTCTTCAATACGCTGTATTCTATCGATATGACACGCAAATATGGCTCGTCTACACGAACTACAACGACCCGATTTTTCGCGTTCCAGCGCGAGAAGAATCCGATGATGAACCATTGTGAAATCATCCGAAATTTTTGTCTTACGACTAACTCTATTACTTCACATTTCCATATGCTTAAAATGAATATCTTTAGTAGGTGTGTGGGTATTTCAAACTAGATTACGAATAAAGAAAAAAATCCCTGATAATATTTCGAGATATGCTAATACTTTCACACCCAACTTCGAGAACCGTCTTCATTGTAGTATCCATCTTCGTCCATTAGGCGTCCATCTTCCGATCGAGTTGGTGCACTCATCATCGTCATTATTTTTTTAAATAGATCTCCTTTGGCCATTGAAGATGGCGGAATAGTATTGTCAGTAGAAGGACGATTGTATTTCTGCGTTGATGTTGATGATGGACGTTGGTAAGCTGGTCGTGTTTCTGACAGAGCTAAAAGAAGAAGAAGAAAAATAGGAACATCTATATCAATCTCTGCTCTCACCTTCACTCTCTACATTATTCTTCTTTATCAGTTTTATATACGATGATACAGAATTGGAGTGATCATCATACGTTTGAGCATTATCTATACACGCTATGATCGATGGAATGAGAGAGGAACCAGATGGCCGATTATTCGGCCCATGAGCCCAACACTTTTCGATAATTGTACGAAAACTTGATGGGATGTCCTGTGGTATTTTCAAACGATCACCAGCCAGTACAAATTCACGAACAACGCTATCACTGTAACCACTGTATGGTATTTGATTTGTGACCAATTCCCAGTAAACAACACCTAAACTGTAAATATCACTCTTGTCTGTGTATGGTTCTAAACGAAGGATCTCAGGAGCAGTCCATTGCAATGTATAGACGAATGAAGTATGACTAGATTTTGTCTGTCGCGATGTTTCATTTCGTGTTAAAGACAAGCCAAAATCGCATACTTTAGTAGTAAATCCATCGTGAGCTTTTTCTAACAGAAAGTTCAATGATTTGACATCACGATGCAGAATTGGTGGCTGACATTGATGTAAATAATTGATTCCTTTGACTGATTGTAAAGCAATGGACATTCGTTCAGACCATGTCAATGACAAGCGATCTTCATGTAACACTTTATACAACGATCCTAACGACATATATTCCATAATTAATGCATATTTCCCTTTGTCTATACATGCACCTAGAAAACCGACAATGTATGGACAACGAATACGATTCATCATCGCGAGTTCTCTGATGAAATCTTTCTCAGCTCTCTCATTCAAATGATTTAAGCATAACTTTTTAACAGCTACTATAAAGTGTCGACTTATCCATGTAGCTCGATAGACTATGCCAAAACCTCCAGAACCAATCTCTTCGTGAAGTTGAAGATCATCATCAGATATTTGAGCACAAGTGAGAAGATCATCTAAGCATACAAAATATTTCGAAAGTATAACACGATTGAAATCTTACTTTGTTGTGAATTTTCTAAACATATGAGTAATTGCTGAATTTTCCTATAATCTATAGTTGCTTCTTTTTGCCAATATTTAATCAATGTTTGCTCGAGTTGATTTCGTTCGCTCAAAATATCTTTTGTCGTTAGTTTCATTGTGTACACTCGTAAGATGGTAATGATTTGCTGATATATATTATAATCATTGGAACGTATGGCAAAACCAGGCTCATGAGATTTGATAAAACAATTACTTTCTGCTTGTTGTATAAAACATTTCAGATTTCTCGATTGTTCCATTAATTGCTTAGTGAACATCGCTATTCGACTTGTATCTAAATATTTCAAATTATCATTATGATAGAATATTTTCATTCCATTTGATCGATTCACTCTCGTTTTCATACTACGTATTAATGATAGGAAATATTCTCTGTTATCGTCGAGTTTCTTCAATGGTATTTCTCCGATTATTTTCGGAATTAACACTAGAAATTGGTCATCAGTTGTCCAGACCTTGTGTTCGCGTTTTTCTCCGACATTAAGATTATCAATTCGAATAACAATACTGTCAGTTTCACGTATGAAATTAATACATATAGCATGTTCATTCCATTTCACAGGTAAAGTATATTCTTCTTTACATTTCATATTCTTTAATTTAATGATGATATTATTGACTATCGCTGGATACAAAGATTGAATTTGTTCGTGAGAAATACGATGAATATTTAGAAGTAAATGATATGCTTCCAAGCTGCGAAGAAGTTCACGTAAAATATGTGTATATTGTGATTCGGAGGTGATCTGAGAACCTTTCCGTAATTTGAAACGAACTAATTCTTCAAATAAACTACGTATTATCAGTGTAAAAAACGCTTCATGAGTTCCGCCATCTGTTAGCATTGTTGAATTTTGCATAGCTGTATTAATGTTTAAAGTAGCAGCTGCAAGTGTCAGGGATGCATTATTTCCAATAAACGAAACATGATCATACATATTTATTCTTAAAAAATAACTTGCAACATAATCAAACAATGTTTCTGCATTTTTATCATCGTAAAGTTGTGCACAGTAAAGAATACGATTGTTAATCATGTCTTCATTTATCATTGGTCGTTGTTCTAACAAATATGCCAGAAATTGATCATTATTAACTTCATTATTCAGACATAGAAGATCAATTGGAGTAGAAATAAAACACGAATGTTGTAAACCATCATTTGGATGTTTTCCATTGCAATCAAAATCGAGTTGAACAATATTACAATCAGCATTATTTTCTACGAGTAATTTCGAAATTTGAAAATTGTAACATTTAATCGAATAGTACAATGCTGAACCATCAAGACTAAGTGTATTTACTTTGATACCTTGCTTGAGTATCTCTTGAGCCAGTTCTATGTCATTCCGTTTGATGGCACGGAATAACAAGTCAACACTCATACTTGCTATTTGTTTTTCGCTAAGGAAATTTTTGAATGAATTTGAGTACGAATACTCTTTCTTTCTTTCTGGTTGAGTTTATTTGCTCTTAACTGTCTTTTTCTGTTCTTCGCTACCGCGACTGGGGAAAAATAACGTGCAAGCAACTGTGCTATAGGGCTTCTGCGCAATACTTTCAAGTTTCGATTTCACAACAATATATCATGGACTCTCTTATTTGTCCGATAACTAAACAATTATTTTCAGTTCCAGTTATTGCTGATGATGGTTACACATACGAAGAATCAGCAATTGTTTCGTGGATTCAAGAAAACCATACAAGTCCCATGACCTGCCAAGCGTTAAGCCTCAGAAACCTGCGTCCCAATCGCACTATCAAAAATTTAGTCGAAGAGTTCGAAAATTCATTAAGTGCTGTTAATTATCGATTGAAATTGAATGTCGATGTCAAAAAAGTTTCTGGAGCAATGTTTCAGGTGAATACTAAAGCTATATATCGCGCTGAATGGTTAACACGTCGGAATGCTCCACCGACGATATTGTTAAAATTAAGTGGTGTACAAGCAAAAAGAGAAGCATCGTATTGTGTACAATTAAGTCGTCATCCACATATTGTACGCACATATGGAGTGGTTGAACCAGCACCTCAAGATTCGATTATGTTGCTTCAACAATATGCTCCTAATGGAAATCTTTCTGATTTTCTCGAAGATCAATTAAGAGTTCCCGATGAAGTTATTCTTCTTGAAATGTTCGCACAAATTACAGATGCAATGACTTATCTGGCATATAATCATATCACACATGGAGATCTGGCATGTCGAAATATAGTCATATTTCGTTTCAGTAAATTTAAATCTGAAGATAATCTTGTTAAATTAACCGACTTTGGTCTTACTCAACATTGTTCAACATATGTATCGATTAACAATGAATTAGCAATAACTAATTGCATACCAATACGTTATGCATCACCAGAAGTTATTCAAAACAAAGAATACTCTGAAAAATCAGATATCTATTCGATGGGTGTAACTATGTGGGAAGCGTTCTCAAAAGCAACAATACCATGGTCTCATATTGAGACTGACCAAGAAATTCTCCAACGTATAATCTCAGGTGAAACATTATCTAAACCTCCTATGTGTAGCGATGAAACATGGCCGATCATCTTGACTACTATGAGTATGATTCCACTAGAACGACCGACATTCTCACAGTTGAGACGTTCGTTAACAAAATTACAATATCAAATTGAAAATAGAACACCGAGTCATAAGGAATTAATGATTAAACTTCAGCAAGTACTTCAAGTGGATATGCACGAAGTTGTAATAGGTGTAGCTGTCGAAGACACTCTCGTGAAATTAACTGGATTACATATTTATCAAGCAGATGCCATATTTCGACGTGTGCCTGATACGAACATTACCTGTTTCCGTTTAAAAATACCCAATGATAATGATTTGACAATTTTTATCAACTACTATGAACAACGATTCAAAAATTTAATACTACGACACAAAAGAGATACGCCAGTAGAATGGGTGAAGGTATTCATAAACACAAATATGTTGTACGCTCATATGGTAGCTATCTTATCTAGAGAATAAATCTTATGAATGAATTAACATTCTCAAGTTCTTCTTCTCGTACAGAATATTATTTCAGTAAATGCATAAAGACTAAAAGTTCAATATGTATTTCTTTCTCCTCGAATTTGTTCATCTTAGTCTGATGCGTTCACAATGAAAGTTGGATAATCTCCAAGCTACCTTGCGGTATCTTCTGCTAAAAGATTATGTTGGTAATCAACACGATCGTTCTCGATATGCATTACTAATCCGTGTGTGAAAAATATATTATAACCATAAAACTTCTTAATACAGTTCAAGGCCTATTCAACGATTATAGATTGAAAGTGATGAGGATTCAGTTTCCTGGATTTGTGTATGAAGATGACTGTTTTAATAATATTCGTCATACAGATTGTTCAATGGAACAAAATAAGTTTTCTTCGCTTATTTTTCTGATTTATACGTTATGGTTTTAGATATATTTAGAACTCAGCAAGCTAGATAGGAAACTAATTAATCAATTTCATTCGCGAAATGCTTGTCATATTCTCTTTCAAACATGATCACAAATGCGTTCGTCGATAACATTCATCGATAAAGACCCATCTTGGTTGATGATGATATAAATCCAATCTAGTATAGAAATGGTTTGGAAAGATTTTCTTTCATTTTTTATGCAAAAGTTGTTATCTTTTCTGTTGTTTTTATTTAAACTGTCTGTTGAAAACAAGACGAATTATTCGAATAAACACATTTTTCATTCAACTAATTTAATACAACTGTGAAACAAAAAAAAAACAAAAAATCGATGATCATTCGTCGATCGACTAAATAACAATGGAATTGTTGAGCTGATTTTATCTTGACTATTGAGACGGTTAATCAGCTTTTGGTTTCATACTTTCCAGTATCATCAAAACTTGCCCTTGGAAAACTTCATTTCTACGTTGATAATCTTCATTTCTACGTTGATAATCTTCATTTCTACGTTGATAATCTTCATTTCTACGTTGATAATCTTCAATTTCTCGTCGAAGCTCGCCAAGAGATTGCTTCATGATTTTTAATTCATCAGATACGTCTTCTACGGTATTGGTAGCAGCGTCAAGCTTTGACATGATTCTTTTCTGTTTACGATTTTGGTTCTCCATTAAAACCATCATAGTATCTATTTTGCCGGATTGCAGTTGATTTCTATCATCGATTTCAACACACTGCTTCTCCACATGATGTTTCAAACTATGGTATTCATCAACCTAAAAAAATTTCACTTAGAAATATTTAATTTTATTATTTCAACCTACATTTTTCTGACTCGACCTTCTCTCAATGTGTGCTATGCTCGATTCGATGGTAAACCACACATCGTCATCGCTATCGCTATTCTCGTTCGATGCTGAGAATGAAAATGACATTGGTCTGTTGCAGTATGAACTATATCCTTATATAAATACACCGTTCTCGTTCACACAATACAATGTACGGACTATTTCATTTTTAGACGGAGAAGAAAGCGGAAATAATTGTTTGACGGTAATCAATTGGAACAGTGCGGGCAATTTCTTCTTCTCACCGTATCTTTTTTCCCCTTTTTTTCATTCGTGAGTCGAATCGGACTGATTTGTTCAAGTTCATCATGAATATCACCTTGAATAATAAACAAACAAATACTACAAACGAGTGAAACTCGATCTCACCATGGTGAAGTTTTCGTTTTTTCTCAGCGATCGGATTTAATGTGGATTGTCGAATCAATTCGGACATATTTTACCTAAAATAGAAAAATAAGAAAATAAGTTAAGAAATGCAAACGACAGTGAAAAAACTGACTTCGTTTTAAAAAATTGTTCAAGTAAAGAAGAATGAAACTTTCATGCAGAAGGTCGACTATAGCAGAGAGGATAAGTGATGTAAATGATCGAG